TTATTTACTTATTTACTTATTTACTTATTTCTTCATTTGTTTCCTTTTTATTCCTTCCATCTTTCCTTCTCCCTTTCGTTCTTTCTTTGTTGCCTTCTTAAAGTGATGTTAAAGTATTAAAGTTGTTGCATGTGTGTGTGTGTGTGTGTGTGTGTGTGTGTGTGTGTGTGTGTTAGACAGTGAAGACAGAGAGCATATGAGTTAATGGGTTCAGGTTTACGTAAGATGCAAGTTGGGACTTGTTTGACATACATTACAGCAGGGTGGCATAGAGAGGACACACACACACACACACACACACACACACACACACATACACACAATGCCAAGATAATCATCAAGACATTGTCTGTGTTGGGTTGTGGGTCATCTGGGTCTGCGCCTATAGAGCATGGAATAAATGAGGTTACAGTGTCTGTGTGTGTGTGTGTGTGTGTGTGTGTGTGTGTGTGTGTGTGTGTGTGTGTGTGTGTGTGTGCGCACAGTGGGAAGCCAGTATCTGTACATTTGTAATTACACTCAGGAAATGTTTATTCATGTTTGATTGGGTGGGACCAGCCGGGACTCTGGGTACATTTAAACAAACTATTTCGACATCCTGTTTAAAGTCGCTTTCAGGAGAAGCAGAGGGAGAGAGAGTGAGAGAGAGAGAGAGAGAGAGAGAGAGAGAGAGAGAGAGAGAGAGAGAGAGAGAGAAAATGGTGGACCGCCCTCTATTATGTAAGACTCCGTCCTGAGGCCCCTTTAAACTGATACCAGAGGGGAGAGAAGGAGCCTGAGGTCGGCTTTAAAAACACCGAGGGTGAATGCAGTCGGATCGAATGCCTCCAGCTGCCGCGGTGAACGGCTGAATTCACTCTCAGGTCAAACTCATCAGTCTGAAGCAGCGCTGTCGTACACGCAGGTTTACCACACCAGAAGTTTTCCCTCAGTATCACACACCGACTCCTGGAGGCTTTAGACGTTTCACCGTTTCAGTCTTTACAGATTTAAAAATCTACACTCAACTTATCTCATTAGAGTCTTGAAAATAGAATAAGAACATGAATCAGAAAGCAAAGAGCAAAAATATTAACATATTAAAATGTTTGTATAGAAATATTTGACAGTGGACGTTTCTGTTATTACCAGTTGTTTTTATTGTTATTGTTTTCAGGTCGGCCATCTTGTTCTCGTCAACACGATATCTCACTAACGCCTTCAGGAAGTTTGACAGACGTTCACCTGGACTCGAGGATGAACTGATTACAATTTGGTGGTGGAAGGTCAAAGGTCACTGTGATGTGATCGTTTTTCGCCACAACTCACTAATTCACAGGATAAATTTAACATTTAAACAACAACAACAACAACAAAAAAAAAATGCCCGCAGAAAAAATAGCTAATATCAGTTAAAGTGTTCGCTTTATTTTGAATATTTTCGCCTCTTTATCAGCAGCTGTTTCCCTTGGAACTACAGTCTGTGAACCGTTGAACTACTTTATCACAGCGCACGCTGTGAGGCGTAGGAATACGGTTTGTTCAACGGTTGAAAAAAATGTAGGATCCTTTTTCTAGCTGACAAAAAAGTTTGTTTGATCCGCAAAACAAAGAGCAGATTGATCTAATATGGTTTCATATTCTCGACCTCGCTGTTTATCCGTCACGTTGTTTTGATTTTCATTTTAGTTTAAGTCAACCTTTCTCAGAAGGTTTTATCTGTGGTTTAAAATGTTTAAACAGCGCCGTCAAAGTGACAAAAGGAAATCAGGGTTACGTTATTTTAGATCCTGTGGCTGCTGTTCAACCATTAGTCACCTCCGTTTTATTTGTTTTCACCAGGAAAAAAGGACGAAGAAAACGCAGGATTACAGGAATAATTCCTCCTTTGATGGCGAAGTGAGGAAAAGACGGTTTGACTCATATTCCTCAGAATGGCTTTATGTTAATTATTAGAAACAGCAGCTCTGCGTCACTACTCATGAAGGATCCAGTAACAAAAAAATCCCCAAACTTCCACAGAACAACTTTTGGCGCGTTCAAAGAAAAAACGTTGTTCACGCCATGACACCACAAATGATGAAACAATTCAATGACACAGAGAAGAGAGAATGGGTAGAGAAACCTGAGACCAGACAGAAACCTTTTATTTTCCTTTTTAGTCTCAGTCACAGACCGAAGCTATTTTTTTTATATTTCTGAAAAAGAAACGGCGCCATGATCAACGATTTTCTCTCATGTTGAATGTAAAATCTCAATCTTGAAATCAACCGGTTCAGCTACAGCAAAGATCCAGACCTGATGAGTTCAACAATATATATAGAAACAGATAATGATAATAAAAATAATAATAATAAACTTTGTTTGAATTGCACCTTTCATTCAAGAAAAGTAGCACAAAGTTCTTTACAACAGAGAAATGATCTGCACCGAGTGCTTCACATGAAAAGACATGAACATAAAAACATTGATCTACGATGAAAAACGTTAAAAACATGAATGTAAAATGAGAATAAAATAATCAGTCATCATAAATGTGGCGCAAAGTGCGTAAAATAATAAATCATTAAATAAGAATAATTAAATAAGACATTTAAAAGAAGTGCTGAGCAGATCAGTCTCTGATGATCAGACTGTGAGACTGATACCAGTAACAAGTACAACATGAAATGAGTCTCAGGTGTCGTCCAGTCTTTGTGTTGTTTCTGTATATATACATAAATATATACACTGTATATATACTGTATATATATATATATATATATATACACTGTATATATACTGTATATATATATATATATGGTCCATACATACACACAGTGTTTGTCACCTTTACTATTAGCAGTATGAACCCTGAGGACTCACACAATGGCTCTGAGGGACTCCTTCTGGTTTCTTATATACGGAGCTGTTTATATCACACACACACACACACACACACTCTCTCTCTCTCTCTCTCTCTCTCTCTCTCTCTCTCTCTCTCCTTTCCTATATGAAGAGAGTGAGCTGGAATTCAGGAAGGGGTTCATTTTCCCTCGGAGCCCACGTTCAGCACCGAGAGAATAGAGTGAGGAAGGCGCGATATAGAGAGTGTGTGTTTTATTTTTGAGTGTGTGTGTCACAGGAAGGGAGACAATCGGTGTTGGTCACATAGTCATGTCATGTGTGTTTTTCGTACACCCAGGGGAGACTGTGGATGTTGTTGTTGTTAAGTGTTGAATTTATAGTCTTTAGTTTTTCTCAGTAACAGATACAAAATCAATACTGTACAAAACTTTATTGATATCAGTAGGTTACAATATTATGATATTATTCGAAATCTCATCATCATGAAAATTCAAAGTCTAGTGTGTCAATAAGTGTGAAAGCTCCCAGAATCATTTATATTTGTTTATGTGTGTGTGTGTGTGTGTGTGTATATATATATATATACTATCTATATATATATGTTTTTTAAATCAATCATTTAGGTTTGAAAATGTTTTAAATAATGAAAAATGTCGGCGTCTGAGTCCAGATCCAGATCCGGTGTGAACTGTCTTTTGGTGTTGTAGGATTAATCAACAGATTAATCAATAATGAAAAGAAGTTCAAATTCAAAGATGCTCAGATGTTTGTGTGAAATAGAAAGTGACAAACCGTCATTACTCTACACACAGTCTTGTTAAGGTGGTGTTAGTCGGGTGTTTGACCTCCTCCCTCCGTCTCCTCCTCCAGGACCGCTTGTTCTTCGTGATGGAGTACGTCAACGGAGGCGACCTGATGTTTCAGATCCAGCGATCGAGGAAGTTTGACGAGGCGCGGTCCCGATTTTACGCCGCCGAGGTCACGTCCGCCCTGATGTTCCTGCACCGGCACGGAGTCATCTACAGGTAGCCACGCTAACAGCGTTAGCATCAAACGTGATGTGGATGAGTTATTGTTTTACAGATTTGTGTCTCTTTAGTATTCAAATCCACATTTGACTTAAAGCAGTTTTAAGTCAAACTCTGTTGATGTGCCGTGAAGCCGCTTATTTGTCTTGCTGCTTCCAGCCGAGACCTGCGTCTCCATCACAGGACATATAAGAGAAATTCCAGAATTAAAGAAAATAAACATTAACTGAGATTCCCAGAATTAATGAACACAGATATTGTAAAATTAGACAAGTGAAGTGAAGTGAAGTGCTCTTCACAGGAATCATCCTCCACAACATTAAATGAACTGTAGTGGAGTAAAAACCAACATTCACCTCCCTCCTCTCCTGACATTTAAATGTGTTTTCGTGTGTGTGTGTGTGTGTGTGTGTGTGTGTCCTGGTTCACGCCGGCAGTGGTGTGCGAACAGGGTTCACAGAATAAGTGACCGTGTGATTTGTGATCTTTGCTGCCGCACTGCTCCACCCTGAGCCGGTCTGACAGCTTTTTTCAGTTGGTTTTGATGCGACGCTCATGTGGAACCCGAAGGCGGAGAGCACACATTCTGGTTGAGCGGTATTAGCTTAGCATTTAGCATTCTCTGTGCATGCTGTCATTTCGGCGTCAGTGTTACTTCAGACAAACTTTCAGGAGGAAATAAATGAGATAACTCAGCGAACACTGGATGGATTTTCTTGAAATCTTTTGCAGACATTTATATTCCTCAGAGGATGAGTCCTACTGTCTTTGGCAATCCTTTGACTTTTGTGGTTTTGAGTGAAATGTCTCAACATCTATCAGATGGATTGTCATGTAATATTGACTTAACTAATGCAGTTCCCGTCATTTAGTAGTAGTTTATTTTATGAATTCATACTTTAATCACAAAATCCCGCGGATGGTGCGTCTGGTTTCAGACCACTGACAAACTGCACCAGAGTCCGGATCGAGATCCTCTTTTCAAACTTGTTTTAGCACCAGAGGTTTCTCACCAGTCCAAATGAAACATGCCAACCAGACAAACAGGTGAAAACATCCTTAGTCCTGTTAATTAAAGGGAATCATAAGCACATGAGGTTCATCATCACCACCTTTCAAATCTGTGAGAGCTCTAAATCCTTCAGGAAATTGACAGCGGCGATGTTTGTAATTGGGCGTTTGTGGCTTGTTCAGTCGCAACGAAATATTTTCTTTAGTCTTGAAACTCAAACTCGTTGACCCTGGAAGTGGCTCTGTGTTCATCTCCAGGTCCAGATGACCTCATCATCAGGTGCTATTATCTGTCTGCGTGGACCCGTCAGTCATAATATCATTGTCAACCACTAGCAAACACGCAGCGGGTCCCACAAAAGCAACACGCAGCTCGAATCATAACACCATTGTGACGGACGTAGACTCGGTGCAGGTTCAGGCTGTTTGCTCCCAGAAATAACTGTCATGGAACAAAAGTCAGTTTCTTCTTTCCGGTGTTTTCTCTCCATCAATCTGAGGTTTGACTCTATGTTTGGATTCTCTCGTCATGCAACCTGTGTGTGTGTGTGTGTGTGTGTGTGTGTGTGTGTGTGTGTGTGTGTGTGTGTGTGTGTGTGTGTGTGTGTTCTGTACACTGACAATTAATTTATCCTTTTATCTGAACACAATCTACCAGACACACAAGTGTTGGGCTTTAATAAAGGCAGAGATGCCTGAAAATAAATGAATAAATCGTAAAATATATGAAATTAATAAATAAATAAACAATCTGAGCACAGGTCTCAAAGATTACAGACTGTGCACCAGACTGACCCCACAGCAGGTCGATAGTAGACATATCGAGGACTGAGGTAGGCCCGGCCTGTTTATTTTAATGCCAGTCTGACTGTGGGTCAGGCGAGCAGCAGCCCGGCTGTTCACACCAGAAGTGCAGAGGCGATTCTGCTCCTTCTCTCTCTCTTTTTTTTTTTATCACATGTAGATCTGATCTTTATAACAAACCTCTTGAATTTGTAACATAAAGCTTTTCATGTGCTCCTGGAGAAACGGTATGTCTCTTCTTCTGCAGCAATGAAGTTAAACGGACCGTCGCCCTGTGTGGTGATCTGTCGTTCCGACTTTAACCCCTGTGCACCGGTATTTTTTAACAAGTTACAGACATATTTTTTATTCTAAATAGTACATTTTAATCTTGCCGGATGAAAATCACAAATGAATACCAAAGACAAATCACTGACTGACTTTCAATCAGCTTTTTTTTTTTTACAGGCTACTTAAAGTGACAGCTGTCTCAAGCTCAAGCTTTACTGATCTTTGCTTCCCGAAACCAATCAAACCTGAGGGTGAAAGACGAAAAAGATTTTATCTCTGGACCCAAACTGAGTAAAAATAGGCAGGTTATAGGGTTAGGGTTACAGGTCATTTCTCCCAGAACTATGAGCCTTTAATAGTTTAATTAACTCCTTTTATTGTTGCCTTTAAACACTGCATCCATTTTCTTTCTTCAAATGAAAGCAACTATTTATAAAAAGATTTATAGACAGAAAAGACACTTTTTTTGAATGGTGTTCTTTGTTGCTGCAAAACATCACGTTCAACCAAAAGAAAACTAACTTGTGTTTGAAATTGTACATTACATATTTACAATAACTAATCCCACATGGACATGAGAGCTGGTTGTTTTGTTCCCAGTGTGTCCCAGTGTTCGATGCAGCTATCTGTGCATGTGTCTGTGTTTACTGCAGTCATTGTCCACGTACCTGCCCTCTAAAGTCATGATTATACAAAATAATGCTGAGAAATCCTGACGCACAGACACACAGTCACCAGAATGAGGAAACATGCTGGGAAGGGATTAGAGATGAATGGTGTATTGTTAAGCGTTCAGAAATTAAAGGTCAGTGGAACGTGACAGAAGATGCTAAATTTCTCCTCGTATTATTCCTTTAATCATTCCATTGTAATTCTGTCTTTTGATTCCATCTGTGTTTAAGTTTTATTTCCTAAAACCTAACAAGGATGTATTTGCTTGGATTTCTCTGTTTGCTCCACTTTTCCTGCCACAGCACAAACAAAACCTGCAATTACACAATATAATAATTGAAGAATAACAGTTGAAGCAGCTTCAAACACGCAGACTTAATGTGAATCCTGTTATTCTGCTGCTACAGCGACTTCGCTCCCCCAGAGGGTTTAATGAAGTCTCATTTTGTTTTATCTGATCAGAGTATTGCCAGGTATGTTATTCTTTGTTTTGGCATTCAGACAGCATGAAAAATAACCAACATCAGCTGAGTCATAGAAACAATAACGACTTAGCCGACGCTAATCAAGGACTGTCAAACTGAAGTCGCTGTCTTCAGGAGATCTGTTTATCCTCTGGAATCCAGCTGCTGGAAAGAAACCAAACCCGGCTGTCAAACACATTTTATTAACATTTATTAACTAATTGAGTGATTGACTTTATTTGGTAGATTCTCAGAGTTTAGATGGTGTGACCTAGGCTTGGTTCGATACTCTATAATATCAAATATCACAATATTTTCCGCTATAAAATCGTAAACATTGTACATAGTACCTCGGCATGTGACAAATAAAAACTGCTGATTAGTGGCAGCATCGTTTATACCTGAAACATAAAACACAATAATATAATTATATGTTATTTAACAAAAACAACTGAAACGCAAAATAAAACAATATGAGGATATTTTAATCGCTAACATCGTATATCGCAATATTTGGGCTCGACTGTATCGAGATATTAAATCTTCGCCATGTGCTCCATTCTGTATGTAACAGAAACACAAACCAGCCTGTAAAATAAATCCTTTTAAACTGCATCGGCTCAGTTTTTAAGTTGTAAATAGTCATTTTCTAGTGAAATCACGTCACGTAAATGTTTTTTTGAGTATATATTGTATTTAAAGGTGTCGTGATTTCATTGGCTCGTTCCCTGAAGTTTAAAACACAGACCGACTCGTAACATGAAGATTAATGGTTCAGTCTTTCAACGCTGTTTTTCTCGGCCGTGCCGTTTTGATAGTGTGTATTACTCGGTCAGGGGATGGCACACACACACACACACACACACACACACACACACACACACACACACACACTGCGTGTTAATTCGTGAGTCGAGTCGACTGAGCCACCAGAGTCTCTCTCTCTCTTCTCTATCTCTATGTCTCTCTCTCTCTCTCCCGTCCCTGACCCACTTTGTTGACCAGAAGAAGATGAACAACAAGTGTTTTGGGAACATTATGTCCCTACTCTCACCCCGCCCCCTCCCCTCCCCCACCTCTTCCTCTCCTCCTCCCTGTCCCTTCTCCTCGCCACCCCTCCCTCCTCCATCACTCCTCTGATGCTCGTCTTTTCTTTTTCTTTTTTTTTTTTCCCATCAGCCCTATCATCTGTGCACATGTTCTCTTCTTTCCAACATTACTGAAGTCTGTGAGATCACATGTAAGGTGATGTTTGGATGTGATTCTGCTGACGGAGCAGGTTCAGACTGGTTGGAGGCCAGACATACAGTACGTCTGAATGAACACATGCATACACCAAGACTTAAGTAGGACATCAACACAGTCTGCTGCACAGTTGTTGTTACTTTTTTAATTTTAATTTCTATTAGAAACATGTGTTTATATGTCACAAAGTAAGAAATAAAAAAAATACAGTTTTTTAACTTTTTATTAAATTTTTTCCATTATTCCACAGAACAGAACAGTGCCTGAAATAAAAAATAATAATAAGTAAAGAAATAATAACACAAATAAAGTAAACTAATTAAATAAATAAAGACACATCTTTCTTCTTTCTCAGAGGGAGCCTGTTTTTATATGCACCAAAACTCAGTTATAGCGTTGACATTAGCTTTAAAAGAAATTGAAACTAGTCGTTGATGTTTCATGTGTAAATACTAGAAATAAATATTTCATAGAACATGTTTAAGTCTAAATAAATTCAGTTGTTTCATAGATGTGCTCTTATCTTGACGTTGTTGTGTCTCCACATCTCACCAGTTAAAATCTGATTTAATTGCTTATGAAATGACACAATGGTTTGTTTTTTTAAATGACACAACATGAACCAAAGTAAGTTCACTCCTAGAGTAGGTTTCAATCAATGTTAGTTTAATTATCCCCCCCCCTACCGCACCCCTATTATTCACTGTAGACAAATATACCAGTGGCACCAGTTTGTGTATGTTCGTATGTCAGAGCAGATGTGTGTTTGGATCATGCAGTCACACAGAAGAGGGGATGGAGGGATGAAGTTGAGAGAGAGAGAGAGAGAGAGAGAGAGAGGTTAGCTGTCACAGTGCACAGGGGTTGCCGCTGAGGACGTAATGGAAAAATCACTCAAGATTAACATGAAACACAGGAAATGCTCTCAATTGAGCCTGATTGCCTTATGTGTGTGTGTGTGTGTGTGTGTGTGTGTGTGTGTGTGTGTGTGTGTCCTGACAGTGCTGATAGAGCAGCTCCTGTTTATTGACAGGATTTCTGGAGTGATATTAAAGCTCCTCTAAAATAACATATGAAGGTGATTTCCCCCGACTGTCGGAAACACAGTGACAGTGACCGGATCAAATCAGCTGCAGCTCCAATCAATCAAAAACTACAAAGTTCTACCTTTTTCTAACGTGAAGAAAAAAGTCTGACGGATGAACGCTTTGTATTTTTCGGGTAAAATTAGAGGAAGCTGATACCTCATTTGTACGTGATGTTCGTGTTCCCTTCGAACCCACCGATGTGATAATATCCTGACATTTATGTTGGCGTTTCACCGCGCTGCCCTCACACGTCTGTGTTCAGGAGAAGAAGAGGTTCTACTGGAGTCAACAAACCACTTCTCTCTCCCCTCAGTATCACAGCTCCCTCTTCTATTTAAGAAGCTTTAAAGTTGCTTAAATCGTACATTTACTACACTGTGAGTATCTAATACAGCCGGGTTTTAACAGGCAAACATGCATTAGGTAACCCTGTATAGCCTTGAATTAAATATCACCACGTATTGATGAGTATTGGTTTAGAAGTTGAGTCTCACATCTCTCACTCGGAGAAGTGAATGATATGTATTTTCTTTTGTTTTCCCCAATATTCGTGTGTTTTTGTGAATGTACTCGATTATTTGGAGGTTTTTTGATCCTAAATATTATATATGACATAAGTTGATGGTTCATTTTGGTTTTGATTTATGTGTTATCTTAAAGACTGACAACAATATTAAAGCGTGACCGAAACAACATCAGAACATAAGGAGCAAGAGAGATCATGAATTCATGAAATAGGAAATGTTTATTTAATCTTAAATTTGTGTTGTTTTTATGTGCAAAGAGAATTGTGCCTGGAAATGAAAAAACTAATATAATCGCAGGGTTTACGTGATCATTCATCTTAATGAAACGGTCGTTGGTTGAGAAACACAGAAACTTTTTAAATCCTAGTTCAAGCATGTTGTGTATTCATTAACATTCATAACACTAAAACAAACACATATTCCTATCAAAGACTAAAACACGTAAAATAATAGCAATAACTCTTTGTGCAGAGCAAAAAGAAAACTGATTCAATATTTCTGCAATAAGTCAATTGAGGATGTAACAGAATAAAAGACAGATTACATCATTTTTGCCCATTTCCTTGTATGAAACGTAGACAAACCACAACAAACGTCTTCACATAAATAAATATCATTCCATTAGTGCTGCTGAACACCTGCAGCCACTTAATATTGAATTTTCCTGCAGCAAGGTGATGTGTAATACAAAGATTAATGTCAGCGGCCATTTAAATTCAATCACAAATGCATTAAATTGATGTTATTTTCCTGCCTCGCTGCGGGCGTGCAAATTCAGATTTAATGTGCCGGGAGTCGCCTGGAGGTGAGATATGCAAACAGGCGGGCCAGGGGATCGCCGCTTTAATTCTTCGTCTGGGGAATTACAGAACAAGTGCTGCTCTTTCCTTCCTCAGCATGGAGCCGTCAATGAGCCTTTTAGCAAGGCACAGTCCCAAGCTGCGCAACGCTGCAAGACCTTGCTTGTTTCGGTGCAGCTAAGGGCGATGAAAGTTTTGAATTTCAAGCCTGAACATTAATCGTCAACTTCGCTCATGCTTTCATTTCACACGTCGTCCCCGGGTGACGTTCGGCCGCTTAAATTGAAGGTTTTGTCGTTCGTGAGCGTGAAAACACTAAAAACTCACGATTGTTGATGATGTCACCTGCGCCTAACCCACACTTGAACTATTTAGTAAAAAAAAAAAAAAAACTTGGCCAAGAGCCAAACCTCAAGCTCCACTGCGTCTGACATGTCATGTTATTTCTTCCTTGAGACTGGAGGCACATTAGCATACCATTCATGTTTTCACTTTGCACGCGATCCAGATAACCTGCCGTAACCGCCGCACAGTTTGTGTTGGATCGGATACCGAACGTGACAGCAAATTACATATCGTAAAGATGATGTGCAGCTTGACCAGATATGATATTGTAGAAATAAGAAGTAGTGAAGTAATAAATGATTATAAATAAGTAGTAGTGTAGATTCAGTGGTGGAAATGCTTCTGGAGAGTGTTACTGAAACTTGTCAGATTGTTCCAAAGTCTGGGAACCGTCACTGAAAAAAAAAAAATCTCCATTTGGGACGGGCGTGTGAAAACATCTCGGTTTGTCACGCAGCCCAAAGCAAAAACCATTTACTGCTCTGTGGCTGATGAATAAAGTCTGATTTCTCTCCCATTTTTCTGTTTTAAGAAGCAAACAGAAAACTGAGTATTGGTGTAAATTTTTAGTCTTTAAAAACACGTTTAAGTTGAAGCTCAAGTTCAAGTTTTACATTTAATTTGTCTGAAATAAGAAACTCGCTTGATTGAAGGTACAAAAAAATACACACTTCTTTTTTTTTTTATCTATTCATAACGGTTGTGCATAATCAGCAACTCTTTTTTTTTTTAATTACAACTTTTTTGTTGTGCAGTCAATAACCTGTCAGAGCAAGGCATGATGGGACAGAGACGAGACAAGCTTTTCAACAAATCACAGCAGCTCTCAAACAAGACTGTTAAGCTGCGTTTTTATTTTTGGGTATTACAAAAACAGAACAGTTGCATAAGATCTTGACTTCAGAAACACACACACACACACACACACACACACACACACACGCTCCATCTCCTCCCTGGCTTGTCAGGGCGGCTGTATTTTTGAAAACTCCTCGGGCTGAATGGCTGCGGTGGCTGCATCAGGAAGATGTTGACATTTTTGTAGCGATCAACCATCAAGCCCAGAGCGGCTGCATTCATGACCAACCCTGTCATCTCTCAACACCGCTGCTCTTATCTCTCAGACTCTCCCGCTCTCTCTCTCTCTCCCCCCCTCCCATCCATCTCCCTCTCTCCCAACCCTCAACTTTCTCTCTTTTCTCAGGTCTGTTCCCCCTTCCTCTCCTCCTGCTGTATGTCCCACCCCCTCCTTTGGTACAGATAAACGTAAGGCCCAATTTGCTTTCAATGACAGAAACCCTGTGGGGCTGTGAACCTTGTGAATGCCGATAATTGTGAAGTCCGTCTTTTTCTCAAATATGTGTTCTTTTATGAGAAGCATACATCACACAGGAGCACATGAGACGTCTTCAGATTAAAGTGAAACATTAAAAAACAAATAACTGCACTTACTGTCAAAGTCGGTGTAAAAATGCTTTCCTCATACCTCAAGATTGTGTCTGTATTTGTGTGATATGTATTAATGATTATCATTTCCATTGCTCGTGTCATTATTTACCTGTACATCCTTATCACCTCTGCAGGGACTTAAAGTTGGACAACATATTATTGGATGCGGAGGGTCACTGTAAGCTGGCCGACTTCGGGATGTGCAAGGAGGGGATCCTCAACGGAGTCACCACCACCACCTTCTGTGGGACGCCAGATTACATCGCGCCTGAGGTGACTCCAAAAACACACAAACTAAATTGTTACAGCTTTTTTTTTTTTCCCCCGCACATACGGACTGAAACTAGCGATCTCACAGAGGAGTGTTGGAGCAAGCAGCTCGACTGCAAACAGCTGTTTCCCGAAGGCACCAAAACAAGCGTGATCGGTTGGTCATGTTCGACTGTTTGCAGACGATACTGTGTTTTATTTAAATGCTTCAAAGACGGCCGCTGCTCCCAAATTTTAGCCTGTTTGTAGGGAGGTTTGGATGTCGCAGCAGATTTGGATATTAAATCAGACATAACATAAAACATAAATTCAACCAGCGTGCTCAAATCAAGTCTGCATCATCAGATTTTACTTTAATTTAAATCTTCCTCTTTCTCTCTGTGTTCAGATCCTTCAAGAGCTGGATTATGGCCCGTCAGTAGACTGGTGGGCTCTGGGGGTGCTGATGTATGAGATGATGGCAGGCCAGCCGCCTTTTGAAGCCGACAACGAGGACGACCTGTTCGAGTCGATCCTCCATGACGATGTCCTCTACCCCGTCTGGCTCAGCAAGGAGGCTGTGTCCATCCTCAAAGCGGTCAGTTACGCAGGAGTTCTGGGCATGTGTGATACTGAGCATGTTTTGTAAATGTCTCTTCAGAAATGCCACCAGCTACTATTACAAGAAAAACTACAACTAATAGCTCAAATTACTGCAAAGAAGTTTTTCCACATCCAAAACTGCAGTTTATACGAGCACTGAAGTTCTGTTACTGCATGTGATGATGAATTTAAATGACATCCAGCCCTAATGGATTCACAGATTCACGGAGGTCCTGTTCTCTCTCTCCTGTTCTCTCTCTCTCTAGTTTTGTGTTTGTCTTTTTCTCACCGTCACATGTGAGAGAGGATGCAACTTCTTTTTTTTTTTTTCCTAGTGTCACATGTTGATCTGTGTTTCCTGTTCCTCCACTGGAAGAACGTTGGATAATTCCCTCTGTGTTTGATTCCATGACTTTCTGTGTGTGTTATTGTGTGTGTGTGTGTGTGTGTGTGTGTGTGTAATGCCACTTGTCCATTTGTATATTTGTCCGTTCAGTTTTTTCCATCACAAGCCTTGCGTTTACCTTGGCTGTTGGTACGGTTTGACTGCAAAGCCTTGTGGGAAAGTGTGTGTGTTTATGTTGGACAGTGTCTCGGACTCTGACCGGTCACTTGACCAGCACCAGGGGCTCTGATTGGACATGTCATGCAGCTGAAGGGCATCGAGTCACATGATGAGCTCTCTCAGCTCAGTCCGACGGCTCAGATGCTCGTTCATTTAGTTTTTGAGTAAAAACTTGGAGAAATGAAAGGTGAAGGAGGTGTTTTACAGTGGCTCCATTGTTTCCATATGGAAGTAGTTTATATAATGTTAATGGGTGTTTATGAAGAACTTTCTGAGACCCAGAATTTCCTTATTTGCATCATCTAAAGTCTTTGTGATAAAACAAACACTAAGAAACAAAACAAATGAAATTTAATTTATTTAAATCTTTTTTCTTGCGCTTGTTTATTAGGAAATATCCATGTACAAACACGTTGAGTGTCTCATTTTTTTCTGGCTGCAGCCATTTCATATGTAACTCCTGGCTGTTATTGTATTGTTGCTACTCATGCTGCAAGATAAAACTGAGACCCTGAAGCTATATTTTTGCCTTATTTCATACATTAATTACTGTTAGCTCATTAGCATTGCATATCTATTTGCAACAAATGAGTCATTTAGGAACTGATGAGCCAGTGAAGAAGAAAAACAACTACTTTCCACCCCGATAGCTGGCGCAGTGCTCGTGGTTTGCGGTATAAAGGTCGAACACTACACTCTGTGTGTATCGTAGGCAAATTTCAACTTGTTACCACATCAACACAGTTTAAGCTTGAAACTCAAAACCTGCAGTGACAGATGCATCGCCTGGAACACTGAGCGAACACCCTCAAGAAGCGGGGTCATCGAGTTCAGCGCTGCCTGTAACAAAGCAGAAGAGGAACTCCCGTTCACAAAATTCAAATGTCAGATCACCCTGATTAAGAACGGGTTGAATGTGAAAACCCCAGGCTGTGCCAACATCACGGCCTGTGCCCAGTTTATCGGAGTGATATCAGACAACCTCCGGGAAAAAGCCTGGTGGAAAAACTGCCTCCGTCCCCGACCTGTCATCTATGATAGATGGTGCCACCAA